CAAGCTTGATCAAGGGCCACTATTTATCTAGTGGTTGGTTTATGATGTACCTAGCACACGTGCAGGGAAGTTAAAGATTGAACGACCCTAGTCAACTGTTATCAGGGCATTATTCCAAAGGGGAGAAAAGGTGGCTACAGGAAGAGCAAAATAGCAAAAGTGAAAGTGGTCATTTACTTAAATGACATACCGTTTTTCCAGCATTTTTCTTTAAACTGGTCCACTCTGAACTATGCTATTAAAAACAGTTTATGGCAACCAACAATGCGACCAACCTCAATAGACTGGTCATGAATGGTTGACTAGACTAGTCCAACCGTCGTTGACTAGGGTGCGTTTGATCAGAGTTAGGCGAACTATTGTCAACCATGGTCCTTGGTCGATCTGCCCCAGAGTACGGCAGGCAAAGTTTCAATGGGTCCATAATTACTTGCACTTTTTGTTACATTAATTACAACAACTAAAAAACCTGTCTCGGCATGGACTTTGTAGGAATACCGAACATAAGATAAGTTGAATAGAAAGTATGCTGTATGAGCCACTGACAAGAGAATTCAAATGGAGTAAGAAATTGGCAAATCAAATTTCAGTGTTTCAAGGCCAATTAACCAATTAACCTTTGGCTGTCTTTCCAGAACAGGACGAGTCTGACGGTGCATGCGTGCCCCCAGCTTTCTCCCAGTGCTGGGATGAGATGGGACGGCCCGTCACCAACATGAGTCGTCATCTGATTGGTCAACACAACCTGCCCAGGCAAAACAAATGATCTAAAAACGTTCAGGCACAAAACAAGGAACCAACCATCGACAATGCTAAAAACTGTCTTGTCAAGCATTTGAAGTAAAATTTCTGTTTTGGGGCAAACTTTTCACAGATCTGTTCAGACAGTAATGTACTGTACAAAATCTTCATACCAGAAAACTAAAAATCAACCACACAACCTTATATTCATAAAGTCCGCTAGATTTTTGAAACAATAATTACCATAAATACATTTTTACAGACTAAATCTGTTTTGGGCAAACATTTTTCACAATAGAATGATTTCCCTCAAAAACTTACAGCCAGTCTGTGCTCGGAAGCGATTTTAATGAGACTCTGTGCCAAGCCATTGAGAAGTCGCGTCCGCAAAGACAGATCGTCAAAATCATGACGGAAGTGAAACGCAATGCTGTCAATCACGACTAATTTCACCTGTCAAACGGGAACACGAGGATATTATTTCAGAACTTGATGTGGTATGAAGCGATTTATACAAAAAAGCTCTTCTCAAATACTTGTGGAACAAATTTTACCCAATTCCTGTTGTCGCTTGTTCATTTATATGTACCTTTTTGTGCTTTTCGAGAATTTCCGGAAGCAGATTGACCAAGGCGAGGAGCTCGGTGTAGTCATGGCAACGGAAGAAATGGATACCTGACAAGAGCTTCTCCACTGAAAAATCTGCCAGCACTGTCTGTTGCTCTGAGATTAGATAGGAATTGACAATTTTGAGATTCAAGATCGTTGTAATAGGTAACCTTGCAACAAACAACTTTGATGAATCCAAACAAGAAACTTACTACCTGTGTCATTTGTGTCGACGATCTGTCGACAATGCTCAACCATCGCCAGGGCCATGTCTGCCGCCCTCTGTGGTAGGAAACTGCCCTCGGTGTCGATGTATATGGCTTCACCGTCAACGCCTCCGAAGCACTGGGGGATTTGTACATCAACAGCGAGCTGAATACTGCAGAAACACGGGGGATTTACAAAAAACAAGAAAAACCTTGCTGATTTGGACAGAAGTTTCATATCTGACAGAAATCTTCAATACTGACTTAAAAAAATCAAAGAAAACATGTTACACGATGAAATTACAGTACTGTCACAGCCTCAAAAGATGTAGCAGAAATTCCGCTAAATCCTTCCCTCCAATTCAAAGAAATGACCACACCCATAAATGTACATACAGACATCCACAGAGTTCTCCTATGAGCCTTCCCCCGAAAAAATTACCACACCCATATTTTACAAACGTAACAGTTCATAAGGAGAAATTTACAGTGACACTATCACCATGTGGGGAGTTTAGGGTAAGACATGAAAGGAATAAAGACATAAAAAGAAGGAGCATGAGTTTGCAAAGACAACAGGGGGCGAGGACTGACCAGGTCTGCGTTTTGCCGACCCCTGGTGCTCCGCACAGCTCTGTGATCTTGCAGAGGGGAACGCCGCCCCCAAGCATCTCATCCAAGTCTTCACAGAAGGTGACAATGGCGGGCGATGACTTCTCGTCGCGCAGCATCTCCAGGGCGGTAACCGTCCTCTTATTGCTTTCTGAGAGTTGTGGCTGTCGCCCAGATGATGTGGATGCAGTGTTGCTAGGGAGCTTGGGTTGGCATGGCAACAAAGAGGAGGTAGCCTCCCTGAGCATCTTTAAAATTTCTAAAGATTCCTCTTTAGAAATGCCAATCTCTGCCAAGAAATGAATCAATGCAGAAATAATTATTTATTAAAAGAAATGAAAGAGTTTGAATTTAGCTTGCAAAGTTCAATATAGGCCTAAGTTGAAGTTGGTTTGGGGATGTTTTCAGGTTTAATTCTGATTCTAGTAATTTAGAACTAGTTACAGCTGATGACTCATGGAAGAAACATTCAGAAATGTACAAAAAAATCTCCTCTCTCAGGAGACCAATTCTAAGAAATGTTCTAGGCCTACATACATGTTCTAGACCTAGGCCGAACAAGAAATGCTAAATATGATTTCAAAACAATTAAGGATTTTGAAATTTTTGAGATATGTTAACATGGTTAAGATGTAATGCCAAAAAGCAAAAAAGTATTAAATAAAACAAACAAACAAGCATAACAGAAATAACAACTGAAGACGTCGAATAGCATACCATGCATTGAGCAATCTTGAAAGTAATATTGTAACTGGTCAATACGAATTACAATGCAAAATTTTGGTACATTTGTGAAGTTTTCTTCTACTCTTACTAGCTACCTCTGCTGAGTTCGCTGGGCTTCATTTCAATGACATCTTCCACAACACTGAAACCATTATCCTTAAATTTAAACCTAATGGCAGGCGGTAAAGGAAAACTTGCTAAATCTCGCTGCATTGTTGATCACAGACTCAATATTCAGTTTCGGTGCTTTGAAGTTCGTGCAGAACTCATTGAACTTTGACACATTGAATAAACATGACGCCTTGCGTCTGGGAGCTAGACCCAATTACACCGTTTCCTAAAAAAAGGCTATATCTAAGCAATGGCTGGATACCAGTTAAAGTCAGGCTCCTGAGCCATGCGCGGCGAATTCAAATACTTAAATTATGGTTATGGTGGGTTTTTTGAACGTCATCCCGTGCAAAATTGCGTTCGCAAATTAAGAGCCGAAACTGGCAGAAACAGAAGAATTTTGGTAAAGTAAAATTTCCAATTAATTGAAAACGAATTTATGATTCTGTGGTACATAATAGTATTATTTTCCTTAACTTTTTAGAATCGCTGGGCCACGTTTGTGAACTTGCAAGTTGCATTGGCCACATGTCGGTCAGGCCATGGTCAGGCGTTCATGAGCAAAACGAAGTCCACTTTTTCAATGTTCAAACTAACCCACTGATATCCAGATTTTGAGGAACCATTCCTTAATCCTAGTAGCTCTAGTTTCGGTACATTTTGACATGTTTGAGGAGTGATCAGTTGCAGAATACCTCGCCACTCTAAAAAACGACCCACGTGGGTACCACAAAGTGAAATCCCTCTGTCATGTCTGTGCCCCCTGAGAAGAGTGTTGACACAGTTTGACCTGTAGGCCTACCTGGCTATAGTATTATGAGGTTGATGGTGTGGGGTGGTGGGGTATTATGCAATTGAGCTAATTTAATTGAGACAATATTTAACTTTTTTTAGCAAGAAAACCAGAAGCTTGAAACTTTTAGCTCAATTGCAGAATACCCCGCCACTCTGCACGATCAACCTCATAGTCATTACTAGCCAGGTACATGTACAGGTCAAAGTGTCACACTCCTCTCAATATGCTCAATGAATTTTCACCTTCAAGGCTTCCGGCTTGTACCCAAGTAACCAGTCATTCCGAGGGTCACTTTTTTAGATTGGTGGGGTATTCTGCAATTACTCCGAATTTTTTACCTGAGTTTGGCGAAAGATGACCGCATTTCACATCTGATTACCCGACCCGGCTATTGTGAAACTTTTATGGTTCCAGATCAAGGAACCAGAGTACATGTGCACATTCCTCTTTGTTCGCAGCTCTTCGTCGCGTCATTTTATGCTGCCGTTTTACCCCATAAGTTCCCTCAAAAACCAAAGCCCTTCCCAGTTTTCTTTCTGATATGAAAGAGGACAATAATTTTGGATTTTTTTGCCCTACCTGACGTGTACTTTATGGTGGATAAACCACAAGTATACTCGGATGGGACTCGAACCCACGACCTCCTACTCACTAGTGCAGACGTCTTAACCACTCGACCACCGAGCTTGCTGGTGTCGGCTGGCTGGTTCGAATCAGATGTAGCCACCGAGCTTGCTGGGCATACACTGGGCATACAGTGTTAAAATACACATCGGGCAGGGCAAAAATCCAAAATTAATTCACATCTCCCCGGCACAGATCCATCTTTGAAATGATTGGGCAATCCGGTATGAATGAGCTACAAGTCATGATTTTGATTGGCCAATACTAGCACATTAATATTCACGATCTTAGTCAAAGCACGGTCCATGACAAAACGCCAGTGTTGTTGGAAGAGATTCCCCAAATCTTTATCCCAAATCTATCCGCTCCGAGCAGAAGCAAAAGAAGGTGTGTTTTGAAATGAAATTGACCGTCCTTTGGTACGCACTCCCCGCCTAGGCGTGAGTATGCACAACAAATTTAGTCTGGAATGTATGGTCTTCGTGTGCACGCCGATCGCATACAAGAACCCGGATGGAAAACTTCAGTACCACCTGTCTTTCTTTGGCCGGGGAGGGTGCAGTTCAGCTCAGGGTGGATAATGTAACATTCTTTGAGAAAAAGATGGCTTGACTTGGAATATGTAATAAAATGGAAGCAGATTAACTGTTTGCAGATACACTTCTCCCGTTGGGTTGTGCAAAAAATAGATTGCTTGTTTGTCATTGAAGCCGATTATGTGTTGCGAACGTCAAAAAGGTTTATTGTCGTGATTGTTAGGATCGTTGCTATATCGAATCATGGCATGAAATTACATACACCCCAGGGGGTTATGGTTAATTTCTGATTGTTCAACATGTACACCAGTGTTCACAGTGAGGAAGATTGTTTTCAAAAGAAGAGGTTTTGCAAGTAAGAAGTAAGCCTATTCAATAATTTATGTAACCCAAAGTTGTGCATATACATGAATTAACATGACATCATATCACTGTAAATCTAATATTGCAAGCATAACATATTGTTTCATTTCTTATTTAGATATTGAGTCTGTGAGCCTACCTTGCAAAAATGGATAACACCGACATAGAAAGAAGACACACTCCTCTCAGAGGTACGTTGAAGCTCAAAGCAAAACTCTTCTCTGCTTTGGATGCCTCAACTTCATGCAATTCTTGCCCACAAAACCTCAAATTTCAATCCCTTATTTATGACGATTTAAGAATATGACGATTTAAGAAATATATCTAAGTAGTGAATTCTTTTGTCAACCCAAAACCAATGTTGATTTTTGAAAATTTACGGAGGACGAGGTTAGAAATAAGACTTTTGGAAAATGACTACCAAATTAAATTTGTCCAAAAACTAGAAATAACCAACACTCCGGATCGGGGGAGCCAACCCAAACCAAGTATCGAGGACCAACAGCAATACACTCAACTGATGAAGCAAGCCCGCAAAGCAGCAGAGGAGGGCCACCCCCGGGAATCGCTGCAGTTCCTCATCCGGGCATCCAAGATTGTCAAGACAGAGAAAGTTCTTAAGAGAATCACCAGAATTGAGGTACATGAAAGTTATTATCTGAGTAGCTCTGAGTAGCTAAGAAGCCTCCCAGATCCTACAAAATCCACCAGGAGATTTTACAGGATTTTGTAGGATTGAGGAATTGCCCGGTAGATTGAAGTACATTGGAGAATTTTTAAACATTAAGAATTATCAAGAATGTTAAGATTATCAGTTGCTACCAATATGCCTTAGAACTTGAGATTTAGATGAATGAATTGTTCCTAATCTATTAGATTCGGCAGAGATTTGATTTATTAGAATTTTTCCTAGATTATAGGTTTTTTGAGCCAAAAATTGTATGTAATTTTTGGAAGATTAATCATAAAGACTTTGCTGCTTTTCACTTCAGAAAATAAACAAATTCAAGATTTATTTAATCATAACTATTGGAGAAGTACCTAGTCTTTACTGATTATTGAAAATCCTAAAAAAAAAATCAGTATTTATCTTTTTATTTCATACCTTCTATCCTGGTGTTTCATAGGTTTTCGTTGCTTCCCAATTGCATTGCCAGACCTCTATAGAGTTTTGTATTTGTACCCTTTAAATACATAATAATCTAAGTAACATTAATCTGTTGATTGAGTTATCTTTACCGTCGCTGCTTAATCAGGAATACTTGAGGGAGAATGGATCAGAGTCAGAATCTGACGAAGACAGCGGCATGCAACACATCGGCAAGGGGTTCTACCTTCATGTGGACCTGTACAGCAAGCTCTACTCCTATCAGAGGGAAGCCCTGATGTGGTTCTGGAGGTTGCACCGTAAAAACAAGGGTGGGATACTGGGCGATGATATGGGGTGAGCTGAAAAGTGTTGGGGAAAGATATGGGGTGAGCTGAAAAGTGGTGAGGAAAGATATGGGGTGAGCTGAAAAGAGGTGAGGAAAGATATGGGGTGAGCTGAAAAGTGGTGAGGAAAGATATGGGGTGAGCTGAAAAGTGGTGAGGAAAGATATGGGGTGAGCTGAAAAGTGGTGAGGAAAGATATGGGGTGAGCTGAAAAGTGGTGAGGAAAGATATGGGGTGAGCTGAAAAGTGGTGAGGAAAGATATGGGGTGAGCTGAAAAGAGGTGAGGAAAGATTAAGGAAAGGAAGAAAGTCATCTCGTAGATTTTCATTCAAGCAGGTAATGGATGATTAGCATTAAGAATCTATTCTAGGGCCCCCTGTGGGTAAGTCGTCATGAGCGGTTGGATATTTTCCCCTCAAAAATGGTACTAGCATGTGTACCATTTTTCTGTGTCGTCGTTTGCTCAGTAAAGTGGTCAAATGTTGTATTCACGTCCAAATGAGTATGTAATTTGTGAGATTACTGCTTACTTTCGGAAATGCAAAATACGAACGCTGTACTGCAAACTGCTTGCCGAAATACACGAATCAAAGAAATAAAGGCTGGGCATATCAGTCTTGGGAAGCTGGGAAAACCTTTTTTCAATTTGCAGGATGATGTGGAGACAGGAGCAAACAAGCTGGAAATCAACCAAGCATGGGCGGAAAGTAAAGGACAAAGAACAGGTGGTGAGGGTGGCCAGACAAAAGAAGAAATTCCGTTTTAAGTCCTATACTGTATATTTTTTTGATTGATCGCAGCCTGGGCAAGACCATCCAAGTCATCTCCTTCCTGAGCGGCCTGTTCTACTTGGATCAAGTCAAGACGGTTCTCATCGTACTGCCGGTAGCACTCATCATCAATTGGGAAAAGGAGTTTGACAAATGGTAAGAGATGCCACCTGCTCTAGAAAAGCTCAAGGAAATCATGTTTGCATGCTTTCAAGTGGAACTGGTTAATAGCAGAGCAGATCTTTTCCGACCTTCCAACACAGTGACTGAAGTTCCAATCCCACCCAGGCCAGCATTTGGACTGGAATGTCTACCATAGGCTTTCCTTCACCGCTTAAAACGTAACATTTCTTCTTCACCTTGGAAGCTTTTGTGAGCCACCTGTGCTTCATTACCTCAGGCACTTTTGTGGGCTTGTTGGTTTCATTACCCACCAACTTCCCCCTTTCCAAAAATAAGAGCTTTGTTAGACAAAAATGGTGTCAAGAAAGTCCCTTAAACACTCAAGAAAAATAAGCAGTTAAACTTTTGGGGTCAAAATACCCAAATATGACACAGAGTCAACTTGAACATCTTGCACATAAGATTACACTCTCGAGAAAAAATTACAGCCTTTCATTTTGGCACGCTGTCTCTTGAATAACTGAATGAAATGACTGCATCTTGTTGTCGCACGGTTTTAGAGCACTCTGCCCTGTTGGTTCACGAATTTATTTATTTATTTCATTCAGGTCCCCAGGGATTTTTGTTGAGTCCTACCACAGCAGCAGCAAGCGCGAACGTGAGCGAGCGTTGGCCAAGGTCCAGAGACGGGGCGGTGTCTTGCTGACCAGCTACGGCCTGGTGCTGACCAATGCAGAGCTGCTGTCCCATCGGCACGGTAACCCCTTCACCTGGGTGAGGACCTTCGGAAATGTGACGCCATTGAAGCCAGCAAATAGCAAAAGACCTTTTCGGAAGACTTTTTAATTAAAAAAGTAATTTGTCACAAAGAGAAATTGTTGTTGAGTATTTGCGCCATTTGATCATCTCTCGAGTCAATATTTTGAAGTTTACCTTCTGAAGTTTAATTAGTGTGAGGTGTATTGACTTCTGCCAATTTAGATATTGACCTCTGACACCACATGTTTTACATAGTGAGTCTCCTCTATCCTGTATCCATTATTTCCTTTGTAAACCTACTTCCTCCTTGAATCATTCTACTATTTAGGACTATGTGATTCTCGACGAAGGACACAAGATCAAGAACCCCAGTAAGACCACCAAGGCAATACATAGAATACCAGCGACGCACAGGCTCATTCTGACGGGAACACCAATTCAGAATAATCTTAAGGTAAACAGTTAGGCCTCAGAGTGGATTAAAATGCATCTAGAAAATGCCAAACAGTAAATTAAGTCCATATTTGCCTCGAGCAGAAGCACCCCCTCATGGGCTGAAAAGAGCCATGTCGGTCAGAAGTGTTAGTTTTGTTGGTGGTGATGCGATTGCTACGCCTTCATTTCCTAGTCGTTTGTGAACCAGCGATGTGCAGCTACTACCAAAGGAGCCTCCGTTGCCAAGGATGTGTGGCGCCCTCTCTTGGTCCAGCTCAAAAGCCATTAATATCCTCCCCCCTGGTAGTTTGGCTAGAAACCCTGCCAGAGGCATCAATCTGCATCCTTTGTCAAAGTGCCTTGCCTCACCAGTGTAACAAGATCCAACGATTCCAAAGGCCAAACGGCCTGGGAGTCTGAGGTTGCCAGTCACCACAAGATCCAAAAAAATCAACTCTCCCCAAGGCCTAACGGCCTGGGAGTCTGTGGTTGCCAGTCACCACAAGATCCAACAGTGGCATTTTTCCATGGGACTAGCTCCCATTGTCTCAACATGACCGGTTTGTTCGCCTGCTGTTGATTGCTCGGTGCAGCAAAATGCACTGGACCATCACACCTTTTAAAACCTAAGTCTGCATGATTGGAATGCAAGATACATTATTTATCTGACAAGAGGAATCGACTTTCAGACAGCCCGACTTTTGACTCGAATTTCACTTTGTGTTGTGCTGATTTGCGTATTCCAACAGTGTGCAGGTGAATTTGGTCAAGCTGTTCGTGCATTCTGCCGTCTTCCAGAAGCAGTGTTTGGCTGTTCTCTGGTGATGAAATAATATGGGTGTAACATGGAGACAACCTGCTTTGAACTTAACGTTCAACTGTTTCGTTTTTGTGTTCTGTGCAGGAGTTGTGGGCTCTGTTTGATTTTGTCACTCAAGGAACGTTACTCGGAACGCTACAGACATTCAACTCGGAGTACGCAAACCCAATCACTCGGGTAAGTTGCTTCTCCTCTAACTCCCTCAAATTTCTCTTAACCAAACTTTGTGATAATCTTGAAATGTGACCCTGTCCAGGAAAAGGTGATATAAGTTGCAAAAAAGAAAAAAATCCAGTTATATACATGATTGGAACGCCCTCGTTGTAAGCTTTCATTTGGTATATGAAAGAGCTCCGTAGCCTTTCCCATTCCGGAGTTATGACACATTTGCATATTAATTAGTTCCAGGTAATTGAAATTGCCAAACTGAGAAAACAGGCTTTGAAATATCTAGCTCCAATGTGGGTTGTAGGCATTTAAATCTTACTTAGCAACCAACATGCTCTTGTGTTACAACCACCTTCAAAATTCGCACCAGGACTAACGAATTAGTATTTTCAATGATTTTGTCGGAAAAAAAGGAATTTTTGAATCCAACGTTGAGCGGGTCATTGCTAGTAAATACATGGTGCGACTTATATCACCTTTTCCTGGAGCGGTCACATATAAGATTTTATTAACTTTTTAATTATTATATTTTCTAAAAGAATCCACATTGTTGCTAAATTCATGGTGATATTAAACCAAAACAGATGTGAATTGGAAACAAAACGTAATGTGAAGCGGTTTTAGTTCATTCAATTTCTCACCAAACTAACTTGAAAATACGAATTTGCACCATCATGACTTTTCCACTAATTTTTGGTTGTCAAGGCAAGAGAAAAGGATGCGACGGGCGGTGAGCGTTGCCTTGGCAACCAGATGGCAGAGAGCCTCCGTGAGCTGATCGCTCCGTACTTCCTGAGGCGGACAAAGGCTGACGTAGTCAAGCGGCGGGAGGAAAGCTCCCAGAATCCCCAGGAGGAAGAGGAAGCAGAGGAAGAAGACAGGTGAGAATTATATCCGACTTGTGCCTGAACTGCAGAGGGCGCTCTTTGATTTCACATTCATGTGACAGTTTTTGGAGTCAGGTTAGCATGGTCCTTCTTTCCTCGCCTTCCACCTCTGTTACCCAGGACCAATTCCTGGCCAAGTCCACATGTAGATTGGGTTTTCAGTCCCTACCTGATTCCGTGGGTTTTACCCAGACTATTCCTCTGTGGTTTTTCCTCCCACCTCTAAAACTGTAACTGCTTCTTCACTGTCTCCTTCCAACAGGTTTCTGCAAGTAACAGTGCCCAGGAGCTCTTTGGAAAAATCCTTGGTTTCAGAAATACTTAAATGGAAAACACAGTATGGGCTATAGCCGAGTTCACGAGTTGTTTCACAGCCCAGTCAAGCAAGCAAAGCATTTGTCATGGTTCATTCGACTAGCCTTTGATCAACTCTGGACGGACCCAACTGCAGCCCAAGACACATTTCCAAGCAGGTTTTAGATATTTTCTGGCTTTTTTTTTCCTTTAGAGTACCTGAATTTCCAACCCTGACCAGGAAGAACGACTTTGTGATTTGGCTGTCCCTGACGGATGCCCAGATCAAAATCTACCAAGATTTCATCTCACTGGACCAAGTCAAAGAGGTGGGCAAGTCAGTTTCGTCATGTAAAAACACATCAGATAAAAGGTTTCCCAGGTCGTGTAGTCGAGGAAATTACACAGACTCTGCATTGTAAGGATTCCCGACTCGGCATTCAGGGGTCTTTTAAAGTATGGAGTTATCTCAAGTCTAGAAGTCTAGAAATTCATTAAGGACCATATTGATCACTTATAATCTTGAAACGATCGGTTGTCTAGCGTTGCCTTGTCTTCCTCCTTACGCAGGTTTTTCCTGTTTGTGTTACTGTCTTTTTGGTAATGTTATCAGTTTGGGAAAAGCTGCAAACCTAATGATTTTGGCGTCTTCTTGTGATCCGCACAGCTTCTGATGACGAGCCGCTCGCCATTGGTGGAGTTGACCATACTGAAGAAACTCTGTGACCATCCCCGTCTGTTGCCGGCCCGAGCTTGCATCCAGCTGGGCTTAGAAACGGCCGACAACACTTGGTGAGATCATGGTGTAATTACACTAATAAACCAAGAAAAAAAATCTAAAACAAAAAGGGGCTAAACGGACTGACAAGATCAAATTTATGTGTGGCTGGTGACAAGTCTGGTGAGATAAGGTACCAGGCTATTTCTAAATCTTAAATTGACTCTGTAAGCATCGGAGTTGGAATGAGCTAAAATCCCTTGCTTACCTGTGAAATATGCTTACTGTGTCAACGTAAAGCAGAGATTCTCCATTTTTTCTTCCCGGAGATTCTGAATAAGCTCCATTCACCAACTTGAAAATATATCAATCTCTGTCATCGTTCCCTCTCCAGGGCGGATGAAGACGACGATGATTCTGACGCAGCCAGATCCAAGAACCGGACCTCCAACCCCGCCCTGCAGGCCATGGCGGACGAGGTCCTGCTGACCGAATCCTGCAAGCTCCAGTTCCTGGTCAGCCTACTGGTCAACCTCCGGCGGGAGGGCCACCGGACGCTGGTCTTCAGCCAGTCACGCAAGATGCTGGACATCATCGAGAAGGTTCTCAAGAACCAGGTGGGGGCAGAAGTAACAAATACGTATGAAAGAATGTCATCAGTTGACAGATGGAATGGATTTTCAAACTGTTGAGCAATCAGTAGATTTTTTCAAAACACCTGAGTAAATCCTGCCCAAATAAATACCTGTATCACCAAAGAGTTCTTCTGGAATTTCTTTTTGTGGGGTGTATTGGAACGTTCTATTCACCACACAGTGTGTATTAGAATACTCTATTTTGTAGTGGACGACTCCTTAGTTGGATAATGGGAACTTGCGAAGGTGTTTTATATTGCCTCATTTTGTGTGTGTTTATGATCGGCCAAAGGCAGTGTGCAACCTCCTCAGAACTGTACCCAAGCTTGTAACCTGCCTAGCAGAAAATCGTACCAAACAAAATTGTGGCCTAAAGTAGCAGGGCACCGGTTATAGTCAGTGTGCATACCGTGACATTTTAGTTGGTAACCCATCTTTGTAATATTTCACAACCAATAACCATTTTGAAAACAGTAACTTTATGCAAAATTTAGATATGAAAGTTAAACCTCACAGGCATTGATTGAGAAATGATCTTGCATTCAGAACTTCCAAGCCATGCGGCTCGACGGAACCATCACCAAGCTGGACGACCGGGAGAAACGAATCTCGTCGTTCCAGTGCAACAACGAGCTGTCGGTCTTTCTGCTGACCACTCAAGTGGGAGGAGTCGGCCTCACACTGACAGGGGCAGATCGGGTCGTCATCTGTGAGTTCCTTAGCATTCCCTCTGACTGCTCTTGGTTTTGAGCATTCGATCATAGAACTTCAAGTTTTCCGCTTCTAGTGAACTTTTGAATGATTTAACCGGTTTTACCAACCTGTTGTTTTCCATAACAGTTATGATTCCACTCAATGAATTATGCACTTAAAATTTTCTTTTTTTCTTTAACCCCAACTCCCACGGGTGTATGTAAAATCGTATTGAAATTGGAGGATTTTGGACTGTTAGGGTTAATTACCACTTTAATGATATATCACAATGGACATTTCAAAGATGTTAGAAATCTTTGCGTTAAAGCCGTATCTATAAATATATCCTTATTGTAATTCAAATTTTGCATTTTAGGGGGAGATTTTGATCAAGGTCAGCAAACACATTGTTATCTTTTAAACAGAATTCAGTGTCATGCGTATCGATATGCCACCCGTTTATTTTGTCTTGCAGTTGATCCAAGCTGGAACCCAGCGACCGACAGCCAGGCCGTGGATCGAGTCTATCGCATTGGTCAGACCCGGTCAGTAGTGATCTACCGCCTCATCACCTGCGGCACCGTGGAGGAAAAGATATACCGACGACAGATCTTCAAAGATTCCCTGACGAAACAGACTACCGGCACATCCAAGAACCCCTACCGGTAAACAAGACACCGACTACCTCCATGTCTTAATTATTTTGTCACTTGTAAATGATGCTGATGCTGCAGTTTCATTGTGATTGCAAGAATTGGTCTAAGATGAAGTGTACAGTAACTTCATGGCATCAACTAATGTTGGCTGTCGGAAGATTAACACAGTTACGCAAACTTTGAGTTTATCACGTCATATTAGGTTCAAGATTTTTAACCGTGTGATCAAGTATTTGAATGTTGAAATTTATATCGAAAGTTTTATGTTTTGGTTTGAAGGAATTTATTTGTGTTTTCATTTGATCTGTCATTTTTCGTAGTTATTTCTCTCGACAAGAGCTGAGAGACCTTTTCATTTTGGACAATCCCCGGGTATCGACCACCCAGCAAGCGCTCGAAGAGATGCATGCAGCCCAGCGAAAGACAGACACACAGCTCGATGAGCACATCGCGTTCCTGTACTCACTAGGTGAACACTCAGATTGCACCTCACTGAGTCAATTAAACCCTCTCACCAAACTATGTCGTGACAACCAACGGCACATTGAAGGCATGATATTCCTGTACTCACAAGCTAAACACTCCATATCTGTTTGCTTGAAACGCAGTGACCTTCTCAGCTTCTTACATATTGTATGCTAAATCAGCAACTCGTTATCCTAGCTAACTCAAAAAAATGCATTAATAAGGTAAAACTTACACTGTACTCAAAATGACCTCTCAAATCGCATCTCAGTGCAAAAGAGCCAGTAAACTCATGAACAAAACTAATCATAGACTCGGTTCCCTCAACACGTCACCTTCTCAACTTAATTAGATACTGAAACGGCATTTCACTGCTTTAAACCAAGGCAACTGCAGTGAGTCTTGAACAAAGCTAGTGTTAGTCACTCATCCACACGGATGCTTCTCAATTCTGGTTATTCCTAGACATGTTCGGTCTGAGCGATCACGACTTGATGTTCTCCCAAGAGGCTGACACGGAAAATACCGAAGATCAAGAGCAAGCGGCTGAATACGTACAGCACAGGGTGAGACAAAAGAGGGCGCTATTCATAACTGACAATTAACGTCCCCATGTATCGCAATCTGTACTGAGAATTTAACAAAGTGTCCTTACTATGAGTTGTTTACTGTCAAACGTCAAGTAAAAACTTTCTCACCACAAGCTCCACTGGTACTAATATTCTTCTTTGGAATAAGTTATCAAAGTTCCGTTCTTCCACAAACTTCATTTCTTAGCATGCCTGTCTTTATGAATTCCTCTGTTCGAAGCGAGTTGAAGTCAAGTCTATCTAAAGCCCCTGAATGTCCATCACAAGTTCACGTGTTTCTCTCTGTTCACCCCTTAACTTTGATATGACCGGTCTTACGAAAGGACTTATTACTGGACTTGGGAAGGAACTCAACTACAACACTGGTACCGAGCTCCTATTGTTTCGGTTGTTGTCACAGGTAACCCGCGCAAAAGAGCTCGTCTTGGCCGAGTCCGACTTGTCTCAGAAGCTGAGAGACCAAGTCCTCCAAGACACAGAGGAACCGGGCAGCATGCAGCGACACCATCGCCAATACGCCGACCGGCAAACGCTGCTGGACCACGCAGCGAAGCTGGGGCGAGAAGTCAATGTACCAGCCTTCAATAAACGACGCGACGACAACGAGAGGAAAAATAGATCACCAAGTAAAGGGAACATTGCTGTTTGTTTACAAGTTGTTTCAGAGTGCTAGAAATATCCTTAACCAGGCTAATAATCCACCAGTATGTCACTGGCAGTTGTATTTGACTTTTTAATCTGCGCAAGAGTTGGGTTGGCAAGGTAGTTCTTTCCTCGCCTTCCACCTCTTTGGTTCCGGGTTTGATTCCCGGCCCGGTCCACATGTGGATTGGGTTTTCAGTCCCTACCTGACTCCGTGGGTTTTACCCAGACTACTCCTCTGGGGTTTTCCTCCCACCTCTAAAACTGTAACTGCTTCTTACTGTCTCCTCTTTCCTGAAGTTGGTAAGTGTGGGTCGTTTGGCGGCTGCCCGAGGCGCCCTTGTATGCCATCGGCTCAACCATGTTTAAATGTATTCATTATTCCACACTTAATGTCTTCATTGTACAGCGCATTTGAACATATCTATTTGACATTTGCGCTTTATAAATGAATACATCATTATTATCAAACAGAAAGCCCTTCTTTGTTCTAGCTCATGGAGTGTATTCAATTCAGCAGGTGTCAAACTGTGACAGTATCAACATTTAAACAATTCAAAGGCTTCTAGAGGAGCATACATGTTTAGGTCTGTGGTACAAAACTGAGACATCTTCAGTAAATCACTTCAAGTCTTTTTGTCATCCGTCACTCTAGGTGTCTCAGAGGAGGAACAGTCAGGAGACGAGGAGCAGTCGGAAGAAGAGCAAGAAGAGTTGAACATGTCCATGGCCAACATGACCTTAGACAGAGACATTGCCCCGCCTCCCCAGGTTAAGAGGGCTGTGCCAAATAACCAAATATTCGATCGATTGTTGAATATTTGAATATTATTTTTTGAATTTGAATATTTGAATGCAAAATTCATGAAATGGAAGGGGAAATTTACTTTTGTTTCAAATGAGAAACATTGCACTGTGGGGGCTTGTTTCAAGCAGATTCAAATGAAAAGCGTCACAAATTTGACATCGATTTAAACAGTACATTATTCATTAAACAATTTGAAAGATATAAAAAGGTAACTGCATCTTACCTTGTTTAAAGTGTTAAGTCTCTTTATTGGGTAATATACAAGTGATACTTCAGAACTCCGGTGTACACTTAAATTTCATTCTTACTTTTGCCCTGTTGTCAAGTTTGAAGTGTTTGCAGCCACTTATTGCCACGGAAACCATCAGTTTCTCCTGGCAACATCAGTACCTCCCTGTAGGTTTTTGTGGTTGTAACTTTTTTAAACACACTTTTCCTCAGGGTCAACGCACTGTCAACCTTCTGTCGGACAGACCCCCGTCATCCAACGCTGTTCCGAGTACCAGTGTCATCTGCATTGAAGATTCTGATGATGACGACGGGAACGAGGCTGCGACAGACATCGTCAGGCGAAATGAGTCTGACCTGGGCGTCATTGAGGACTCTGATTCAGAGGTCATGACTTCACCGAAGGTTAAGTCAGAGGTTACTTCCTCAGAGACCTCTGAGCACTTCGCAAACGAACAGGAGATTCATGAGGAGTCTTTCGCTTCTCCACTTGGGGATGGCAAATCTGACGTCAAAGGTGAGGTCAAGATGCAAGAACATTGGAATGGTCCTGCTCAAGACCTGTGTCTGACTATGGAAGAAGAGGCGTCAAGTCGTGATCAGTCAACAGACTCAGAAAAAGCTCGGCTGAAACGGCTGGCCACAACTCCAAAAGAGTCTCTCGAGAAAAAGAGTCGCTTCTCCCTTACTCCTCAGAGCGAGACAAGATCGCCTGGTTGCCTTGACAACTCTCCTGATGCGGAAGGAGACAGCATCCAGGAGATAGCTCCCACACCGAGTCCCATCATCGATCTGACAGATTCTGATGCAGTTGAGTCTGAGGCTGATATGTCAAAAAGCTTTGAGGAGATCGAACACAGAACCATTGCCACCTCGCCTCTAGCTGACAGCCGGCAATCATTGTCAACTGACAGTCCCCCAAGACCCATTTCCACGGCAACCGATGTCGGCGAACTGGAGAAAAATCTTGATTCAGATTATTACATGGAATCCGAGGAAGATGAAGACTTCAAAAAGGATTACTCCAACTTGTTTCCTGAAAACCAAAAGGCACCAACAAGCCTCAAATCACCTGATCCAAGACCAGGCTCAGCCCTTGAAGAATCCTTCTATGTGTCCCCGGAAATTGAGCAGAGGAGTGTAGCCTTGTCACCAGCAGTCCATTACAAATCTTCACCAGAAAACTCCCCTGAGAATACCTCCGTCAGGGCAGCAACCTCGGAGCCGACTGCTAGAGGCAGAGACGATTGTACGGAACAAAGTAAAACCAGCAACGGCAGTGAAATTACCAGAGGCAAAGTCTTCCATTACAACTCGGAAAATGAAAACATTCACAACAACTGGATGAGTATTTTCAGAGAAGATGAAGTACGCGAGAGGGTCATTAACGTAACCCATAAGCTCTCCTTTGATGAAACCACAGTTGCCGAAAGAACAAATGATGAGGATCAGACGCCGGAGCCAAGACTTGAAGGAACCGTGGAATGGACTATGGAACAGTCCGAAGACGAAAAGGATCCACAGGAAGAGAAACGGATGTCGCAACTTGAACAGAGCATGACTGTCATGAGCACGGCATCTGGAGATGAGCTTCCTGGATATGGTAACCATGGCAACAAGGAGGAGGAGGAATCTGAAGATGACATTGCTGTGCCGGTGTCCAGGAGAAGACGGGTCATTGAAGAGAGCGAGGAAGAGGCGGATGAGTCCGTCCGAGACGAGATGGACGGGTCACTCCTTCAACAGTCTCCTGACCCAGATGAAGAGGACCGGGGGCATCGAGATGGAGAAGAAGGGAAAGATGTTGCCGAGAGTGATGGTGGCGTTGACGATGCAGCAGTTGAGGAAGAGCAAGAGGTTGAGGAACCCGAAGGGGAAGATGTTCAAAGTGACCTAGAAGAGGATGTTGAGGACGATGGCGATGAATACGAGGACAGCTTCATCGATGACCAGGAGCACAGTGATGGTAAGTCATCCCAATAACCCAATCTGAAAATTGCGTTGAGCAAATACTTGAAGTGAGTATTGCAGAGTATTGCAGCCACGCCTGCTGCCCAGTAAAGAGCCCCCATTGTGCGATGTTGTGTAATTTCCTCTTTGCTATGCTGGATTTCAGTGTTGCTATGCAGAGCGGCCGACGGTCAAACAGCACGTGGGCCATTCATCAAGCACACGGGCATAATGAACACTGCACAGTGGCATTTTCTTAACTAAAGTGGCCAGATTCCCGGCTCCCCGGCAGGAAGTGGTTAAAGTACAATTGTGAGAGAATGAGAATTGTTTCTACTGGCCTCATATGATTTGTGCCCTCGTCAACAGAAGTGAGCGCTGACAGTGAAGAAGAGTATGAAAGCAGTGAGGAGGAGTGTGAAGAGGCGGAGCTTAATGGCAAAGAGGGGGAGGATGAAGAAGTGACACTGAGTCAAGAAGAAATTCAAAGATATCAGGATCTCGTGGGCAGAGGAAGGTAAAGTTTTCCTGTACTCTCGTGTCCTCGTTAACAAATTTGATCAGGAAAGATTCAAGTTCTCCTGTTGTAGATAAAATTAACGATATTTCCCATCATTGGAACAAGCATGCCTTTGGTTAGTGACGGTAATGAATGCTCCTCTGTACCATTTCGGCATTTACTTGAGATCATTCCACTGAGGAGTTTGTACCCATTCCGTTGAAAATGGTTGAACATAGTGTATGCCGGACGCGCAAGTGAAGCAGTGATGTATATTTTACCTTGCATTCAAGAGTAAAAATTGATTTCTTTGTTGTTAAAGGTTCATTTAAAAGTGTTCTTTGTGACTTTTTTGTACACCATATGATCAAGGTTGCTTGGCAACATCATGCTTTAAGCTGTAACTGGATTGAAAATAACTCGGAAAGATTTCTTTCAAATTAAGAATTTAATTTTCAGTTCCTTAAAAACTCATTTTGTGTTTCCAGACTTCACGAAGAAAATGGAAAAATAAAGAAAGCGTTGAGCTGCTACCTGACAGCGCTAGACATTGACGCAAGCGACAGGACCCTGCAACGACGCACCTACAGACTGGCCCAACAGTTCAAGCAAAAGGCTGGCCTGTCGTAAAACCCATGCATCACAAGGTGGAGGGCAGGGTACCATTTGGCAGTGATCCAGTTTGGTATTTTAACAGTACATACCTGAAATGAAGCATGGTTGAGGTCACTAAAGGGAAAGCAGTACAGGTGTGCGAGATCTGCCTTATCAGCACCGCTGTGCATTGACTCCCACACGTTTTGTTCTCCAGTGACCTCGTCTCTTTAAAATATCTAACTCGCTCAATGCACAAACGTCGATAAAGTTTCCCTCGTGAGTAACTTCTGATTGAGTTGCGGTAAAAGGTATGATAAAATTTAAGCTATGTTAATTTTAGTTCCATAAAAAGACACAATTTACTTTTTCTTTTCTTTTTTTGGGGTTTGCTTTATTTTGGAAAAGAGATAAAATGCATTTACCTTCCCTCAATGAAAATCTGTCAAAAGTTCACGATTACAGCATGCACTGAAATCTACTTCCAGATTTCTCGGCCACATCTTTGGAATCCGCATTATGAAACTGATGTGTGATTTTTTCAGTCTCAGCCAAATTATTCAAACATGGTCTTCTTCAATTAGGAGCCAGCTACCTGACCTCGGCAAGCTTACCAGAATCGGTGAGCAAGAGGTCGAGGGTGCAAATCCCACCCAAACTAGCTTGTCTAGAGCTGTGTCGAATATCCAAATAACCAAATATTCCATCGATTGTCGAATATTCAAATATTTACTTTTCAAATTTGAGAATTCAAATGCCAAATTCATGGAACGTAAGGGAAATTTTTCTTTTGTTTTTAATGAGAAAAATTGCACTCGAGGATTGGTTGAAGCAGTTTCAAAGGAAACTTGTCAGAAATCGTACGATTTAAAAAGTAAATTATTCATTAAACAATTTAAAAGGGATAGAAATTTTCAACAGGGCAAGAAGTCTTGTTCATTTCTTAAATCTAGCTGAATCATGGTTGGAGATGCTCCTTGATGTGAGAAGCTATTACATTGATCATAAATGTACAGTTGTGTGTGTTGTCGCAACCCATTTCGTACATGGTTTGTTCATCAACAATCTGCTGGTCGGTACGACCGAATATCCGGATATTCGATGGAATTGTAGGTTGAATATTCTAATAGTGAATTAATCGAATTGACTCGGCCCTAAACTTGTCAAGTTGGTTTTTTTTTTCACTAGTTCTTAGAAAACACAGAGCATGCGCTACATTTAATATTTAGACAATGATAAGGAAAACTGGGGGGGGGAACAGTGTAAAAGTAAAGTTTGAATATTTCTCCATTTATCTTAAATTAAGGTCATTAAGGACAGACCAAGTGACCATGCTCAGTTCTGTCAGCATTAAATTACTTGCTTTTTGATTGTTCTTGTAGTCCTGCAGTTACGCAGGTGTCACTTTCTCTCAGCAGGTTTCCACAAAGTTACTTTATTTTTTCTTCTAAAGTGAAGTCAACAACTAGGGAAGCTCGGGAAAGATGGCATAAAAGGTTGAAAAAGTAGCATGTTATGCAAGCAGTTAGATCTCCTGGCTTGTGAGGTCAGTTATGAGTGACAGTGTATTATTGTGAGGTCTGTTATGAGTGACAGGGTATTATTGTGATTTTGTTGCATACATTTTACAAACATATATTGGAAATGTTAGCTGGCAATGTTTTACAAAATTGTAAAACCCGCTGAATACAATATAAAAATTGTACACCTGAATAGTAACCATTGTTCCCAATCAATTTGATGCACAAACTTACATTTTGTACATCTATATTTCTACATTATTTTGCTTACAAACATGAACAAAGAAATTAAACTGACTGGAGTGGGATTTGAATCTGCGGCCTCTGGAACACCGTACCAGTGCTCTACCAACTGCGTCACCCAGCCCTATATTGGTGGCTCTTCCCATTGGTCAATATCTCTGTTCGGGGGGGAGGGTGCTAGCCAGAAGCCATTATTTTACAACTAATATCATTCTAGAGTAATACACTCTGTTCCTCAAGATTTGGTCGAATTGTTTTGTTAGTATGGAAATTTAAGAGCCTGATTTTTGCTTCAGAGAAATAGTCTCAAGGATTGTAGCTTCAGTCCTCTTAATTTCCACAGGTGATGTACAGTATATGCATTGCAAATGCTGTTGGCAGTGTTTTTCATGTCTAGTAATTTTCAAGAGATGTTTTTTACAAAATACCATTCCAGGCAAATGTACGGGAGCATATAAGGGCCAAGTGCAAAAAAATTGTTCTGGTTGCTAACTCGCCGCAGCGAGTTAATACTACCTCGCCGCGGACCAATTTCATAAATCTTTAGGGTGTCGTCATACTACTGTACAATTAGGGTGGAATGCAGTGAAATTGCGTTGCAAAGTTTGATTCAACCAAGCTTGATTTCCAACTCAACAGAAAACAAAGGAAATCTCTTTTGGGGGTGTGAATTTCCATAATAAGTGGGGTATACTACTTTGATTCCCGGGTAGACTCCCTGTTAGGGTGGCTTTTCATTTATACTTGAACAAATTATTCTATTCACATTAGCGCCGCGAGGAGGAATCCCGAAAAAAGCGGGGAAAAAAGCCAAATTAATGAAAATTTAATAAATGAAAATAAAATAGAAAATAGCACATGCATAATTTTCTTGAGAAAAACAAGAAAATCGATCCACCCTCCAATTACAGGTTATTGTTTTAAGTAGACGGTTTGCTCCCCTCCCACCGAAAAAAAAAACTCTGGCGACGCCCATGCATATCTTTAGACAATATGTGTTGCCATTTTGGACCAAACCTCGATGTTTATATCACTGTAACATTAACATTTAGGGGGCAAAATCAGGCAAAAAGAGAAAAATGAAGTGAAGGTGAAGGGAAATTTAGGAACACACTTTTTCATCAATTTCGCGCATGTGCAAATGCGTACTTAGTAGCTGGACGAACGGAGATCGTTCATGGATCGCGACAGAAAGCGTGGAGTTTCTCAAAATTTCCTGCAAAATACGTCGTCGTATTTTGTAATTTCAGCAGCATTTATGGAGTTTGGGATACAAGGCACTTGTGAACGACATTCGAGCTGTCTTCGCCTGAAAAAAAAGTGAGAAAATAACGTTGAAAAAATTCGCATTTGTGTGAGGATTCGCAGTCGCGTCCAACGTGGGCTAGTCCGGCGCGGCGTGGGCTCATCTGGCATCACTGCCCTGTACGGTAAGCTGTCTCTTTCTCAGCAGAATTATACGAAACATGATTTTGGTGCTCACATAGATTTGCTGAACCCATTTGTTCCTATACATTTATTCTTGTACATAAACAGTCCCGGATTCCTGGAAAAAAGTTGGCCCAGAAAGTCCTGAAATCAGTCATGGAAATCAGGAAAATGCAACCTTTTGTTAATTTTGATGGGTTCCGGAATTTATAGGCTATCCTTGTCACTCCGTAGTTGTGGTTATGGTAGTCGTTCATACTACCAACCAACTTTTTCTCAGCAAAATGGCATGAAATGTCATGGAAATTGTCATATTCTAGTCCTGGAGAGGAATACTGAATTTAAGTAAGATTACTGAATTTTGTTTTCTGATTGCTATGGGAACCCTTCTTGTGCCAATCAGACCCACTGTTCCTGCACTGTATGGTTTTATTAGTGACCAGATGTGACTGGCTCTGCAAAAATGGCCCTCGGGCTTACATGTACATGTATGGTGACATGATTGTGGGTCAACTCGCCCCCTGGCCGACTCGCCCCTTACCAGCTCGCCCCCTAGCAGACTCGCCCCTTACCAACTCCCCCCCCCCTAGCCAACTCACCCCCTGACTGACTCGCCCCCCGGCCAACTCGCCCCCCTAAGTTATCCAAGCACGTATGGCTGGCCCATTCACTATTTAATAAACACAATCAGTCAAAGATGGAATCGGTGATTGCTGCCCTTAAAAATAGGTTCTGGGGTTTGCAGCGGGCACTCAAAGTTGAGAATTATGATAGATAAAATGTTTAAAGCTTGGTGGTTATTCCCTTTCTGTGGAATTTAGGGGGTAACAATATTTTTTTGATATTGGTAAAACTAATTCAGTAATATCGTGTGTATGGGCTATGGCGCAGCATTTCCTGTGTATTGTCTGTGGGATTTTGTGCGCCACAACACACGTCTTCTCAACTACATCACATCGCTTAATTAAAAAGCTACCGGAAGAATATACATTACGTTACTAGTAAACAAATTAAAAACACTCTCAAAGATATTCAATTCCAAAAAAGAAAGAAAAATTACGCAAATAAAAAAAATTAATAACGGGACGTTAAAAAATGACATAAGTGTACAATGTACCACTATGACTCAATACATCACACAAAAAGTGTATATCCAAGAACCTAAATCATTTTTTTTCCTTCTTTTTCTCCCCTCTTCTTTTTGGCGCCCCCAAATGTGGCACCTGGGGTTCATGTCCCCCCTTGCTACCCCCATACATACGCCACTATTTCTATCTGCCATGATCTGCCCAGCTGCGTCCTGTCTGCGGACCTCAGCTTAGTCACATACCCAAATATTAATGGGACGGAGGGTTCGAAGTTGTTGGTCCTGAGGGTATGTTGGATGTACAAATAACCTAATCAGACAGTGGAAATAGGAAGCGTTTGAATAAATAAGTGATTAGTGGTGATGTCCAAATATCCATCACCGTCCGTGAGTCGTTCGTGTCGCGTCATTGGTTAGAACCATTTTTTTTTCAATACATTGGGCCGGCCATATTTGCTTGACGTTCCTGGAGGGGGGCGAGTCAGCCAGGAGGCGAGTTGGTAAGAGGTGAGTCGGTCAGGGGGTGAGTTTACTAGGGGGCGAGTTGGAAAGGGGCGAGTTTACGAGGGGGCGAGTTTACGAAGGGGCGAGTTGGAAAGGGGCTAGTCGGTCAGGGGGCGAGTTGACCTGACACTGGTGACATTGATTTCAAGTGATGCCAATAGATAGAATAGAATAGAATTTGTGTGTTTTTGACCTCTGTTGCACATTCTGTTCCCAAGTAAAATTTAGAATTGATCTCCGGTAGAAGTAGGGTTGTACCGGTACATGTAGGTCAACTTCGCCCCCTGGCCGACTCACCCCTTACCAGCTGCCCCCTTACCAACTCGCCCCCTGACCGACGCACCCCCTGGCCGACTCGCCCCTTAGCCAACTCGCCCCTTAGCCAACTCACCCCCTGACCGACTCGCCCCCCTGGCAAACTTTCCCCCTAAGTTTGCCAAGCAGTTATGGCCGGCCCATTCACCATTTTATAAAAAAACAATCAGTCTGAGATGGAATTGGTGATTGCTGCCCATAAAAATAGGTTCTGGGGTTTGCAACGGGCACTCAAAGTTGAGAATTATGATAGTTAAAATGTTTAAAACTTGGTAGATGTTCCCTTTCTGTCATGTCAATGGAACTTGGGGTAAAAATATTTTTTTTCATATTGGTAAAATAATTCAATATTATTGTGTCTATTGGCCATGGTGCAGCATTTCCTGTGTATTGTCTGTGGGATTTTGTGCGCGGTGTCAAGACAACTCGCCCCTTACCAACTCGCCCCCTCGTAAACTCACCCCCTGACCGACTCGCCTCTTACCAACTCGCCTCCTGGCCGACTCGCCCCCTGACCGACTCGCCCCCTGACCGACTCGCCCCCTAGGAATGTCAAGCAAATATGGCCGGCCCAATGTATTAAAAAAAAAACCCAATGGTTCTGACCAACGACGCGACACGAACGACTCACGGACGGTGATGCATATTTGGACATTACCACTAATCACTTATTTATTCAAACGCTTCCTACGTCCACTGTCTGATTAGGTTATTTGGACATCCAACATACCCTCAGGATCAACAACTTCGAACCCTCCGTC